TTAATTGTTTACAAACTCGTTTTAATTGCTTCTTATTCGCTTATTCTTGCTTATTTGAATTAAGAAACTGAAAACCAAACAAACAATCTCTTTTATTCGCTTTAGCTAGTAACTTGTCTGCTACTCTACGTGTGGTCATCGGTCCTTGTGGATTTGATCCCGTATTACTACTGCGTACTTCATTGTGCACTTGCAGTTAGATAATCGGGTTAAAACCTGACCTATCATTGATAGAGTACAAATGGCATTTTCGTAAGTAATATGAACTTGTGGAGTGAATAGGAAAAAAAGAAAAATCCAAAAAAATCATAGGTTAGTTTTGTAGTTGACTTTAAGTTTTGAATCAAGTTTTAAAACCTGACCTATCATTGATAGAGTACAAATGGCATTTTCGTCAGTAGACATCAAAATAAAAAGGAGAAAGAACTTCACCCAACCATTAAATGCTGGGCTTCCAGAGCGAGCAGATGGTGTAGCCATACGGGAGCATTGCTGGCGATGTAAGACTGGTGGCGGTGATCGCGAGTGACACTTATAGCAATAGCGTCAGCAGCTTCATTCCGTTCTTGGAATGCGTGATCTAGACTCCAGAGAGCAATCTTGGATAGCAGAAAGCAAACATTGTGGCGGACAAGGCTGAGACTGAGATGGTTATCCAGATTACTGAAAACGTCATGGAGGTCCTCGGAGGAAGTCTCAAAAATAATATTCGAGAAATGCAAATTATGGATGCATTCCACAGCCCAGAAAAGAGACCATAGATCGGCCTCTGCTTTTGTACGCATATAAGAATAAGCACGCCGACTATGCATGAGTGTACATCCATTTTCATCTCGTAGGATCTAAGAAGAACCACTAATGCAATTCGGCCTTAACCATGAAGATCCAACATTACATTTTAGGAAACCATGTGGAGGTCGTTTCCATCGAATCATTTCTGGAGGAGCATCATCGACATTCACTTTTGTGTCGGTGAATGTATCAAACCATGTTGATTCCTCTTCAAAGGCTTTCTTAGCAATAAAAGAAGGCTCAGTATCTTTGTCTTGGAAAACAAAATTATTCCTTGCTTTCCAAATTTCCCATAACAACCATGGAAAAACATCCCTTGTATGTATATCCGCTGCTGTGTTTTTGGCACTCTTAATTAGGTGAACAAAATTTAAAATGTTGAGTTCCGAGAAAAACCATTTAAAGGTAATGGAAAATTAGCTTTGCCATGTTATGCGTGCTTTCGTACATGTAAAAAGCACATGACATATACTCTCCGCCTCAGTACCGCAAACCGAACATGTTTGGTCTATCGGGATACCCCGAGTAGCCAAACGTTGTTTCACCGCTAGAGCACCAGATAGAGCCCGCCACATAAAATGTTTTATTTTTGGTGGAGCTTTAACTTTCCATACCTCCTTCC